CCTCAAAGCTGAATATTCAAACCACCTCAGATTATCTATACTAGAAGCAGAAAGTGGTTAGTTTCCATTCTCTATAGGAAAAATAAAAACCCCCAAAACCATCATGCACCATCCATGAAGTTACCTCTCAGTGTTTATTTTTAGACTGAGATCTGAGTTTTTTACTCAAAGCTTCCATTTTTCCAACCTTTAAATCATCTATTCAACTCTAAATCCTATACATTCAACATGTGGTTCTTCCAAATGAACACAGTACTCGAATAATTTTACCAATGCCAAATACAATAAGAGTTCCTAATTCCTGGGTAGATCATAGAAATGCCAGGGCTGAAAACATCCTTTGAGATTATTTAATTCAATCCCCACATCTTACAGCTGAGGGAACTGAGAGCCAAAACAGTTAAGTGTCTGGCCTGTTACACAGGCTATTAGAGGCAAAGCTGTGACTTACAACCAAAGTCTCAGGGTTCGTATCCTTCCCACTACAACATACTGCCTTCCACAAAATAATCAAACGCAAAAACAAAAGCACAAAACACCCTGCTATGTAGATGCCAGTCAATTAAGCTGGAACATAAGGGACTCCTTCCTCTCAAGTTCTATTTCAATTTCAATGGTTCATCAGGGCACAGAGTCACCCCATCTTCCTCCTAACTCTGCCCTCCTTGGTCCTCCCAAGCTAGGGAGTCGTTGAATATGGGTCCAGTTACACACTGACTATCTTTGAAGGACAAGTTTAGTTAAATTTGGTAAGATTCACAGGTTCATTTACAGTCATGAATTTTTCTCATCACAGCAATTGGCAACTGTTGACCATCTGAGATTTGAAGGAAGTACCTCAAGTCTTTCCTGATTCCTTCTCTGCAAGAGCTAGAGAGGCACCCCAACATTTGGTAAATATTTTGAAAAATGCTCATTTATGTACATGGCTTCTCCAATAGAAATGTGAGCTTCTTGAAGGCAGGAATCATTGCATTTTTGTCTTTGTATCTTTACCTGCCTGGAACACAGTACGTGCTTAACAAATGATTGTTTGAGGCAGAAAACATACCTGAATGAAATGAAATGCTTAGGAAGCATCTCCAACCCATGTTCACTTCGGGGATATTATGTATAATTATGTTTGGCTCCGGGGATGCAAAGATTAAACATACACATATGCATGTTATGTATGTACATACACACATATAAACACTCATTATATTATGTATGTATGCATGTATGTGTGTCTCTTTCCTTAAGGAGCTACAAATCTGATAGGGAGGAATACTTCAGAATCTTCCTTTCTTATCAGCTGCCCTGCTTGGGTTTGACTCCTGGAACAACATGCTTTCCCCCAGGATAAGCAGGGAGGGAAAGGCAGGGAGAAGAGTAACCATTTACAGTATATGATGCCTACCACGTGCCAGGCACTGTTCTAAGTGCTTTATAAATATTATCTCCTTTGATCCTCATCATCATCCTAAGAGATAGGTGCTGTTATTATTGAGGAAACTGAAGGCAAACACAGGCTCAGTGACTTGGCCAGAGTCACACAGTTAATAAGCGTGTGAGGTCACATTTGAACACGAGTCTTCCTGATGCCAGGCCCAGCACTACCCACTGAGCCACCTAGCTGCCCATCTCCAGAAAAATCTAACTATGGAGACTGTTTCAGCTTTGGGAGTCAGCACTTCCTCTGCACCTTCAGTTGTCTCTCCTGTTGGAGGGCTGAGCAAAAAACCCCTCTAAATGCCTCCATTTCTAGGGAGTTCTGAATTTCCAGCTCTCTCTTTGTTTTCCATCAGCTGCTCGGCTCGCTTCTGAATTAGCACCAGCTAAATGCTCTGGCACTCCCCTCCCCTCCTTTGGTCGCTCCCTAGCAGACAGTAAGCTCCTTGAGGACAGGGACTGACTTTCTTTTTCTTATTTGTATCCCCAGCACTTAGCACAGAGCCTGGCACACGGTAGATGCTCAATAAATGTTCACCATTAATAATAATGACAGAAATGATAATAATAAACAAATGCTGAGGGAAGGTCAGGGTCATGGTGATATGAAAAATGGGAACCACATCTAGCTAAGTGATTAAGGAAGACTTCATGAAAAAGGTGACATCAGATGGACCTTGAAAGACGCCTCCAACATAACATATGCTGATTATTCCCAAATCACTTCATAATTTTTTCCCTCTTATGTGTGCTATAACCTATGTATAATTCCCCGTTATACTTCATTCTTTCAATTTTGGACCTTTTCTCTATCTTGAAGCTTATTTTGACCAAAATCTCCCTTTTTAGATCTTGGCAATTTCCCCCACTATTCTAAACTTCAAGTCATGAAAGGAACCCAGGGAAACCCATATAGCTAGAAAGTGGCCAGCACACAAAACACACACATACACACATAGTCTGCTAGGGCTTTCTTTGTTTATAAAAAATTGAGTAAATCTCTTTAGAATAAATTATGCAGAGATGAACAATTACATGCTGACCATAACTAGATATGTGATTTTTTTGAGGTCAATTTCTCCTAACTCGGAACACTTAACATTTTATGAATTTCTGTTAAAAGTAAATTTCTATCATAATAGCTAATAATACAAGACCTATAATTAGTGTAGATAACCACATGGTGTCATAGTACGCAGCTCTCATGGCAGAAGGTGCTAGGTCCCTTTCCACTGTTCTTAGCCTGATACTAACTACAAATTTTACCTCAATCTCCTTCATTCCTTACTGCGAAATCTTCTCAAGAATGTAAATCCTTAAAAAAAAAAAATTAGGAGAGGTAGATCATGTGAGCTTCAGGACATAATATGGGACACCTAGAAATACAGTTAAACAGCAATATTTTCTAGAGCTGAATTTTGAAAGTATTCTTGAAGGTGGCAAAAAGTCAATGTAAATCACCAAGAGGTAACTCGTATATTGTCAGGTATGTAATATCCCTGTACTGAACATACTAAACTTGTTTTCGAAGTCTCCCTGAGATTTTCAATGTATGAGCAAAGTGTTCTAGAAGTACCAACTTAAAAATACCCTACTTCTGTAAAAAAATTTTTTTAACAAAGGGATACCCGGTGGTAGGCAATGAGAAAAAGCAGCACACCAAGACCTTCCTATGTCCTGAAGTGACTTTCCCGTATTAGGCGTGCCTAAGTTATCACTTCTTATCAGTTACCAAAACCATTCCCAGGATCACAGGATTTTAGATTGGGATAGGGCCTCAAGGCACTCTAGTGCAACTAACTCAATTTACAAATTAGGAAATCGAAACCAAGGAAGTTTGATAGACTTGCTCAAAGTCACGCACAACTGGGATTCTAACCCAGGTCTTCCTGACTCCAGCCAGTACTCTTTCAATAACCCTGCCTATTCCAATGGAAGGATAAAAAAGACAAAATGAGTCAGATCCTCTTCCCTTTCCATGAATCTTGCACTTTTTTGGGGGGGGGTGGAGGAGGAGAGGTGACTGGGGATTTTTCCTGTAGATGAGAGGCACTCAGATGCACCTTTAAAGTTAAAATATTTGAATAGATGGATGACAGTCATAGAGAGATCTGTATGCCTCTGGTTCTATAGCAGGGAAAGAATAAGCCCTGAAGTATAAATAAGGGCTATCCTTCGGGAGGAAGAAATCCACCCCAACTCAAACACAGCAGCAACTGCAGGTAATGCAAAGTCAAGTGGCTATGAAGCTCCTGCGTGGTTCGGCACAAACTTTGCAAAGAAAAGTTCTACACCTGGGCAAGGATCACTAAGGGCAGCTTCTGTGGAGCCAAAAGGAGGAGGGAGAGGAGGAGGGAGAGGGAGAGAGCGAGAGCGCAGGGGAACGGGCTCCCGGGGGGCCAAGGAAGCTCCCCCCCCATTTGCACACCAGGGGGGATAATGGTTTAATTTCCGGGGGGGGGGGACACACACAAATGATCCAGGTATTAGATCTGCCCCTGCACTTGAGCCAAGGAAGTCAGGCGCTCCTGCAACAGGCGGAGAGATGGATAGAAGATTGGAAGAAGGGAACAAGCATTTATGAAGCGCCTACTGTGTGCCAGGACGAGAAAAAGCGCTTTGCAATCCGATTGGACGCCGGGCTAGTAGGATTTGCATGCGGGGGGGGCTGAGGCAGACGGCGGCCCGAAGGCTCTCGCCTCGTCCTGCAGGCCTCCAGCCCAGGAGGACCCCGGCAACCCCCACCTTGGGCCGCGGCCCCGGTTCTCCCGGCCCTCGGGGCTCGGCCTGGTCCCGGCTCCAGCCCCTCCCCCCCACCCCGGCTCCTCCTCCCACACCTGGAGTGGACCCACCCGAGGCACATCCGCCCCCTCCCGACCCAAGCGACCGAGGCCTGCCCCCAGCCACCGCCGCCACTTCCTAGACGGCAGCCCCGGGGGAGGGAGGCCGGACGCCGGCAGGGAGGCCCGCGCCCGGGCGGCCTCGACGAGCCCGCTGGAGGCCGCTCGCCTCTAGTCACCTCCCGACGCCCGCAGGGCCCAGCGGGCTCCCGGGCCCGGGAGCACCTACCCTCGCCCGCCGGGGCGCCGCGAGGCCGAGGCCGGCAGGGCAGCCCTTCCCTCGGAGGTGGCGGCGGCGGCTCGGGAGCTAACTCCACTTCCCACCTCCGGAGCCTCTTCAACTCCCGGATCAATTCACTCCGGCAACGCCGGAAGGAGCCTAGAGGAACCAGGCGTTGTCCGGAATCCTGCCCAGCCGGAGCCTCGCACGGGCTGATGGGGGCTCGTAGTCTCTGTCATCGGCCCTGCCCACAGCCTCGAACCCGGATCGGACTACATCACCCAGCAGCCCCTGCGCGCGGCTCCCGGAGATGGGTGGGGACGGTGCGGACCAATCGTCAAGGATCTCTCGGCTCCCCTGGGCGGGGCTGGGAGGAAGGGAGGGCGGGCTGGGGAGCGGAGAGAAGGGGAGGAGTCTTGGCTCACCTGGCCCAATCAGGGAGGGCGGTCGGCTCGGGCTTTGGATAGGGCGGGGGCGAGGGGGCGCGCGGAGGAGTTGGAGGCTGGTGCACGCCTCGGGAAGAATCTGGGGTGACTCCGGGCTCTGCGGGAGGCGCGTGCTAGGAGGCAGCCCCAGGGTGAGCGTGGGGCGAAGGGTACGGGAGCTCTCGGCGACTTGCCCCAAGCGGAGGAGCTGCGGCAGCTAGCCGGGCTCAAACAGCTGTCATTGCCCAACTCCAGCACCTTTCCCGGGAGGGGCAGGGGCAGCTGAGCTGGGGGAGGTGGAGGCACGAGGACGGGGTGGCAAAAGGGGACAGGAGCATCCCCTTCTTCCCTCCCGCCGTAGTCCCCCCTCTCAAATCCAGAGCCAGGAGGGCTGGGGCATCAGGTGCAGATGTCGGTGCAGCAGGTGTGGGAGCAATCGGGAGGAGGACTGTGAAACAATAGGAGCCGGAGGTGGGAGACTCGGGGAAAGTTGGGGGTGGGGTGGAGCAGTAAGATAGCGAGAGGCGGCAGAAGCTAAAGCAGCCAGCCCCGGAAAGGTAAGGGAGGCTGGAGGGGGGACGAGCTACAGCAGCAGCATCCGCAGCTGGAGTAACCAAGAGAGCATCAGGAGGAGGGGGAGGAGAAGGAGGAGGAGCGGCGATGGCAGCTTAATTTGCCACCCGGAGGAGGCGGAGTTTCCGCAGCAGCGAGAACAGAAGGCATTGCTGAAGCAGTAGCTGCGCTGGCTGGGGCCGGAGCAGGAGCCAGAGCCCGAGCCCGAGCTGGAGCTGGAGGGAGTCTGTCTGTGCGTGTGCTTCGCTGGAGACGGAGCAGCAGCATCCCTTCTGGAGGGGTTGGGAGTGTGCGAAGGCAAGGTAAGCCTGCTGCGCTGCTTTGACGAGCATTCGCAATCCAAGCTGACTTTATTGCCTACAAGGAAAATTCCTCTACTTACTATTTGTAGCAAATTTGAAAGTATCAGGTTTTTTTCCCCCCTACGTAGGTTGCAAACTCTTTTCAATGAAAGATACATTTTGCACTTAAAAAAGAGAGGGTGGAGAGGGAATGTCATTCACTTTAACCGCCTTTGGAAAGAACATGATTCGTATATCTGAGGAATTTTGTGATATTCGAATCGTTTGGTTTTTTTCCCCCCCTCTGAGGCACCCCCCCCCGTGCCTGAAATAGACTGATTTCGAATCCATTGAATTAGGTCTATATTGGAGTACAGGCGTTTTGCTTTAGATTTAGAATTACATAAGAACTCCTTTATTATGAAAACAAGTTTTAAATTCAGAGCAAGGTCCTCTCTCCCTTTCCTTGGTTCATTAGCATCCGTGTATTTCCCTTTTCTGCCACAGAGAAGGATGTCTATGATTTGCTTCAGAAACATTAAGCAAAGAGAGGTTTGCATGAATAATCCAAAGGATGGATGATGGAGCCTCTCAGGGGAATAACTTTGGTCAACAAGGACCAGATCAAAAAGCTGTTGAGGCTGAATGGAGGATTAGCTTTCTATTGCCTTTTCATAAATGGGAACAAAAACCTTGCTTAATATCCTCCCATCCAACATACAGTACTCTCCACATTCGGTGCCTTTCCTAGGTACATCTCTCCACCGTACAGATGTTGGATGGGTCAGGTGAATGTTTGCACATTTCAAAATTGCTTAAGCGTAAAAGCAGGAATTCCAAAATTTTGTGGTCTATTAGGGATCGATGTGGTGATAAGGACCTGTGGGACACACTTAGAAGTCATATAGTCACCTGAGACAGTTGCTATTCATCATGTTAAAACTTTTAAGCAATTCTCTGACTTCACTTTGAATGCGGTTGAATAATTGAAGATGCTGTTTTCATGCCAGGTAGGGATGAAAGGTACTATAAACCTGAGTGAGTTTTTGTGACTGTAAGATAGCAGTCTAGTCTTTTTACGAAAATACAGGAGACCATTTGCCTGTTTTGTGGGGTTTTTCAAAGCAAAAGAGGTCATAGATTGTGTCTTTTTTTTTTTTATTAAAATATCGTGTAATAGCATCCCTTTGTGCTAGAATGTGTTTATCATGATGGCGTCTTATGATACATATGCTTCTCAGAATAGGGTAGCAATGATAATTGACTCATGTTGAAATATAATCTTTAGTTATTGTTTACTACGGTTTTAATTTCCATTCTCACACTTTGCTGGTTTCCTGTTGGCTTTCTGCTTGCTTGTTGCTGGCTCTTGTTTTTTTATTTCTATTTAAGTTGTAGTACTATTAAAATGGTCTCAAAGTCATTCCTTTGATAGTGTGAAGTTCATTGCTAATGAGTGTTTGACAGCCCAAGTGAATCAAGGATGAACATGGAGCTCTTATCTGTGTACAACACCAATAAATTAATAAATAAAGGGTTAGAAAAAGCTGTGTTCACATTGTCCCAGAGGCAATCAGGTAAGTGCCAGACGTGACCAGCTTTTTTATGAAGAAGAAATAGTGACAGTTGACCTATACTGCTGCTACCCTCGGTCAGATTCTGCCCTGGCTGCACTATGGGAGGTATTCTGTCTTCATTCTGAGTGTGATTCTCTCCCTAGGAAAATACCTTTTTTTTTTTTAACCTTTTTGCTGTGGAGAGAGGGAGGAGAATTTGGGGCAAGTGGAGTGAGGCTTGAAAACTGATGTATTTGTGGGGAGCTCTCGTGCCCACAGCCACATGAAAACTGATTTATAGAGAAAATTCTTTCTTTCTGGATCCCTTTGGGAGTCAGGCTTTCCTTTTCAAAACTTCAAATTTTCTGTGAGTGTCTGTGCTTATCCTGTTCTTTGGTTTGTGGAACCATACTTTCTGAGTTAGCATCTTGGGCTCTGTGTCTGGCTGTGACCCTGATTCTTCTGCTTCATCTCTCCTATCATTATTTTCCCCCTGTAACCCTCAGTCCTAATAGAAGAAATGGTCTGGGAAGTCTTACTTGACAAAAGATTTTGGTTTAGTGCACGCCTCTTGCTTTCTACTTGTATCTTCAGCATCTGGCCCAGTGCCTGGCACGTAGTAGATGCATAATTACTTGTTGATTTATTGGTTGGAAAGTATTTGACTTGGGACCATTGGACAAAAGCAGAGTATTTTGTGACCCAGACATATTTATAAATCCTTCAGTCTGCCTCCGGTGAGCTAACACACAGCAAGAATTTCACACAGGAATAAACGAAATATGGAACATTACGATATTGATAGTGGTTCTGGTTAAGCTCAGGAAACATCTTCACTTGTGAAGCATGTCATGAACAAGAGATTAGGGTGAACGACTGAATCAGATTGCCAAGGTGCCACATTCAGAGGTTCCCTTGACCTTCTGGCTCATAATAAGTCGATGTTGAAATGAAGTCTCTGATCATCAAAAGACTCCACATATATATGTTATTGATTATATATGGTGAAGAATTGAGGAGGAGGGAATCTGTGATTATATTATGCAAATCACTACCCAGGGTAAAATCCAACCTCTTTTCTTTTGATTTCAGTGTCATAGAATGAACTTATCTGAGGTTAGCATTATGTAGGGTAGCTGAGAAATAAAAATAAACATTTACCAAATGGCTTTTTAGAAATTGCCTTTAGAGTTGCCATTTCTGTAGGTAGAAAATATGGTTAATTCCCATTTACATTTTTTTTCTGGCCTTTTCGCCATTTGAAATTCTGAATACCTACCTTACTGAGCAAAAATAAATACATAGCCTAAATTTATCTTTCCAACAGGAAAATTATCTGATCTGTTCAACACAAAAGATTGAGACTAAAACTGGGCAGGAACTTATCCCCTTCCTCCCTCCCCAACCATGGTAGGTATGAAGAGAAGGGCCTTGAGAGGGTGGAAAGGAGGCCTGCCACCTTTTATTTTTATTTATTGTTAATGTATCTCACAAGTAATTTTTTTGTCCTTTCTTTGTAATCGCCATTTTCTAGAAGACTGCTTCCCTGGGGGAGGCACTCTCCGAAAATGACATTTTCAGGAGAAGATTGCTGACTTGAAATCATTAGCCTTTGCCCAGGCACAGGTTGTTGAAGAAGGAAAGAAAAGGTTACATGTGTATGTACCCATTCAGACAGCAGAACTTGCTGTCTGAACCTTGATGGTGGGATATAGAAAGACCAAAAAAAAAAAAAGAAACTGAAGAATTATATTTTTCTGCCTGAAATGGGTACACTCGGTTGTCTTAATATTTAACTTGATTGGGAAACCTTGCTGGCGGGAGTCAGAAGTGACTCATTGAAAGCTTTCCACCTCAGAGGTAAGCAGGTAGTAGTGGTTTGCATCTTAAAAAAAAGATTAAGGAAGAAATGACAGGGCAACTTTGATTCCAGTTAGTCCAGTAAACTTTTTGGAGAATGCAGTTAGTGGGGTTTTAGAAATTTAGAGATGAAATCTAAAAGTTCACCAGATTCTAAATCTAGAGTTGGAAAGAGTCTTAGAAGTCATCTAGTCCACTGTTCATTTTTTGAATAAGGAAACTGAGGCCCAAATAGGCGAAGTGATTTCCCCAATATCACATAGCTCATTAAGTAGCAAACCAGAATTCAGGCACATGTCCTGTCCTTCCAAGCTCAGGGATCTTTCCACCATACCGTGCTACTGATTTTCAGCAGTTTTATGTTGACTAACGAGTGATACCCTGCTCCCAAGAATAGAATTCAGAAGGGTTTTGAAAATTGTCATGAAAGTGTCTCTGCCCATTTCATATCCCTTTAAACCTAGGTTTTTACTTCTCCTTTCTTTGCATAACATCTCATTTGGGCCTTGGGAAAGGATGATCCGGATTGCTAAGTGGGAGGCCTGTGTAGTATGGGGCAGGTAAGGGAAAAACACAGCTGAGACGTTGGAACTTCTATCATGCAGCAAAAGAGAATAAGCAGAAAATGGATTTTTGGGGAGAAAATTCCTTTTTTTTCCAGTTCCTTTTGGGAGTCAGGCCCTCCTTTTCAGAACTTCAAATTTTCTCTAAATTTTGATGTTCATAGTTTTACAGTAGCCAGCTCCTTCTCAAGTGTGTGGGAGTAGCCAGGCACTGGGAAAGAACTCTTTAAATGCATATTGAATTGGATCGACCTGTTTACTGGTAAGTGTAACGTACACCTTTTTATTGAGAAGACTGTATTCAAGTGTGAAGCCCAGTAAGTGGTAATGAGTTCTGTTGCCTGGCCAAGTCACTGGGTCCTTTTGATAAACAGTGGCACCAACCTACACAATTATCTTATTAGTCTTACAACTTATCAGCGAGGGTGTTGTAGAAACGGTTTTGCGAATGGGCAAAGCACAACCCTTTTGAGATCAGTCAGTAAGTTATATGAATATTTGGCTCCCCTAGTTGAAAGGCTGGTTGCCTTTTAGGGCAGAAAGGCCGTTGGGGATAAGATTCTTATCATAATCAGTGCAGTTTTATACTTCACACCTTTCCTAGTTTGTGTACATGAAAAATGTGTAGAAGGCATAATTTTACCCTCTTGGTGACTTCCTAGTGTGAGAACTCCCCTCCCCCCCACCCAGTGCGAGTCACAGCCCACCTGTGACTTAGCAGATAACCCTTGCTTGAAACTGCTTGACGCATAGAGGCACTTCATAAAGGCTTCCTGATTGAGTGAATGCTTTGTTGAAAAAAGTGTGCCACTTGATGAGATCACAAATCCATTTGAGTGTCCTACCCAAAGGTATGATTAATAATGGACCCTTGAAGACGTTAAAATATTGTTCCCTTTTAAATGTCTATTAATCATAGGTTATTCCAGCCTTGCGGAGAGAAATGGATTTCATACCGTAAAATAAACAACAGACTGGAAGTATTTCAACAAGTGTGGAAGATTGCATTTTCCCCTCTCTTTGGTCTTCTAGGAAATAAACA